TGATGGATTTGGTTCTATTCCTCCAAACTCTATTAGTGGTTTAACATATTTTAATACTTCATCATAAATTCCATTTTTTTTAATTGACCCACCACCATATGTCATCATAATTCTAGCATCTTCAGGAATAAGATGTTGTTTAACGATTTCTTCACAACTACCTTTTCCATAAATTAATCTAACTGGATTATAAAATGTGAAATTATTCATTAAATTAATAAAGGAGGAATTTAAATAATAAGTAATCAAGTTCTTAATACAAAGAAAACCTTATTTTATATAAAAACTAATTATTAAAATATAAAATTGTAAAATTCTTTTTTCTTTTTGAATTGTAAAAAACCTATGAAGGATTTTTTAATGAGAATTTTTAATTTCATATCAACTTATTTGTTTTATAATGACTGAAAATATAATTGTATTAAATGACCTCAAAGACTCTAAAGGAATTACTCTTCTTAAAGATGAACAAAGTATTTTTTGTATTGTTAAATCACAAATTGGAATTGATGAAGCAAATGAATTAATTCAATTAATTAAAAAAGAACCAAATAAAGATATTATTACACAAACTATAAGTTCAATTAAATATAATAAATTAATAAAATTAAATAACCAACAAACAAGTTATGAAATTAATGTAATGAAACCACAAAATATTCAAGAAATTAATAAATATAAAAAACAACAATATGAATTGTTTTTAGAAACACCTGAATTATATCAACAATATACTCTTCCTTATATTTCCACTATTCCTTCTTCAACTTTACAATGGATTAATGATTATTCAAATGATATCACTAAACCTTTACTTAAAGGTGATGGATTCTTTTTAGTTCCTGACGTAAAATGGAATATGAAAGATATGAATTTATTTTATGGTATTTGTTTTTCTAAAGATCCATCTATTCTTTCTATTAGATCTTTACGTCAATGTCACCTTCCTTTATTAAAGCGGATGAGGTTTGAAGTATTAAAATATATAAATTCAGTAACTGGTTTAAAAGAAGAAGAAATTGTTATTTATTGCCATTATCATCCATCTTTTTGGCATTTTCATGTCCATTTTACAAGTATTAATTTTCCTACATTAGCTAGAAATAATTCAATTGGAAAAGCAATTCTACTTGATACAATTATTCAAAATATTGAATTAGATGATTTATATTATTCTAAAGCTAATATCATGATTTCTATTGGAACAGCCCATCAATTATATGATAAATTTAATCAAACAAAATAAAATTTTAATAATCATTCAAAACAATAAATTGATACAATTTAATTCTTTTTTTTTGTCTTTGTTTTTGCTATTGAAATATTATCACCTTCAAATTAATATGAGGATGAAGAACTATCACTACTTTCTCGTTGATTTTTTCTTTTTAGTCTTTTTACAACCTTTTTTCCTTTTCCAATTAATTCACTAGAAGTATCATCACTAATTTCATCTTCAGTATCATCATCTTCATCTTCAGTATCATCATCATCTTCTTCTTCTTCTTCATTACCATCATCACTAATTTCATCTTCAGTATCATCATCATCTTCTTCTTCTTCATCTTCTTCATATCCTTCATCACTGTCATCATTTTCAAATTCTTGTAATGAAGTATCACTTTCTTCACTTATACCATCTTCAATTATAACAGCTCCAACATTTTCTTCTTCCATTTTATTATCATTTTTAGTCTTAGTAGGTTTTGTTGTTGGATTTTTATTTTCTTCAGAATTAACAATATTAGTAAGCGATTCTATTGGTTCTTGAGAAGACTCTTCAAGTTCAGAATCAACGTCAGAAAAACTAATATCTTCATATGAAGATTGGTCGAACCGTGTTGTAACATGTTTAAAATCAACAACCCTTTGAATCATATAAAACAAAACTTGAGTTGATGATACCGTAGCATACATTAATGATTTTTTATTAACACATTGAATAATTTTTTTATAATATAACTCATCTTGATAACAAATTGGTAATTTTTGAATAATTTTTAACAGAATTGAATGAGTTGTATTAAGAAATGGAAGTAAATTATTTATATTTTTTGAAGGAATAAATTTTAATCCACTAATAATATTAATAATATTTAAACTTCCTTTAATTCTTTTTTGTCTTTTTTCAAGACTATTTTTTAATGTTTCTAAGAAATCACTAACTTCTTGAATTAATTGAATTGTTATTTCTTTTACTGTAATTGATTCTGAGGTTAATAAATTAGTTGGATTTGAATAACTTTTATAATCAATTGATTTACATTGATTCTCTTCAATCATAGAAGTTCTAATACCAAATTCTTGATAAAGACTTTGTTCTAAATGTAAAGTACCTTTAATTTTTATTAAATGTTTACTTAATTCTATTTCTCTTAAACTCTTACTTTGTCCATAAAATTGAATTAAATTATTCATTTTAAATTCAGTATCAACTAACATCCAATTTAACTCACTTGTTTCAATAATAAGACAATTATTTATACACATAAAATATCTACACATTCTATCAATTCCTATAATTTTTGTTTGACATTTATGTTTAACTATTTCTTTACCAATGTTTGTATTTAAAAATATTTGAATTAATTTAACAATAACTGACACTTTAACTCTTGGTTGTATCATATAAGATAAATAAGAATATTTAATATATTCCATTGCACTTAATGAAAATGTTGATCCTTCTTTTTCTAATATAATACATAACAATCCTGGTATAGTTACTTTATTAATTGGCATATCCATTCTTTCAAACCAATACATTTCTTGAGAATGAAATATTATAGGAATTAAAAACCGATATAACTTTATTGTTGTCCAATCTTCTTTTAAAATATCTTCATAATATAATGCTGTTACAAGTGATTTAAATGACGAATCTTCTATCTCAATTTCTTTTTTAAACTCATTAATAAAATTCCATATATAAATAACACCTTGTACAAGATCTCCTGATTCATCTGATAGTAGCGTTAATGGAGTATATATTTGTTTTTGAGACATTCTACTATATTATGAAGTTCTTTTTAATTTTTTTTGTTAATATTTATTATATTTTCTTCCCCTTATCATTTCATCTTTCATTCATTATTTGTTATCAATATTTACCCTTTCTCATTTTATTAATATTTCTAATTTATCTATCTTATTCTTTCTTTAAATCTTTTTTTTACTAATTAAATAATCATTGAAGATTAATTTTTGTCAATTTTCTTGAAAAACCCTTCTTTTTTCTTTTTGTTTTAAAATTAATAAAAATCTTATTATTAAATCTTAACATTTTTTTTTAAAATTATTGAAATTGCTAGAATAAAATATTTATTATGGCATTTTATAAATATCTGTGTATGTAGGAACATTAGGTGGTGGATAAGTTCCAATTAATGAACACTGTTCTTGATAATCCATTCTTTGAAACTCTAAGTCAATAGGCGTCCTTTCTTGGTTATATTCCCTGGCATTGTCTCTCCTTCTTCTTTCTCTATTTCTGCCTCTTCGGCGAGGTTTTTCATCATTTTTTTCTTGTTGTGATTGAGGCATTTCCCAAGAAAGACGTTTTTCTCTTTTAACTAAAGTAGAAGGATATCCATAACTTTCAAGTGAAGCAAATTGATTGGGAATTGGTAAAACATGAAGATAATTACATCCACTGTGTTTTGGACAAACACCCATATCATGTTGTTTACATCTTGACTCTTTTAAATCAATAATTCCAACATAACTCGGGTTTAATACTACCGAACCAAACAACTGACCTTGAAGATGTTTTATTGCTTCTTCAGCCATAGCTTCAGTAGCAAATTTAACTAAAACATTTCCTTTAAGATGAGAGGCTTGATTCTCTGAAACAATCATATCGACAACCTTGCCAAACCCTGAACAGAGAGTGTATAGGTCAAAAAAAAAGTGTTCATATTGTTCTTGGTCTTGAGGTGTGATTACTTGTTGTGCTGGCCAAACGTGTGGCAATAAAATGGTTACACTTGAATGAGGAGTGATATGAACTTTCTCGCAAATATTTCCATGACGACAAGATCCAACTTTAGAGAAGAACTCACAGAGATTGAGACTTTCCATCAATAACTAAAAACTATTTTTCGTTTTGACAATTTTTAATTTTTTAATTTTTTTATCAGAGTTTTTAAATTATTAATTTTTTAAAGAATGATGTTTTACTTTTATTAAAAAAAGTGAAACATCTGCTAAAAACATTTAAGATAAATTCATTTAATAATGTCTTCTCAAAAAGTAGTTAGTGTTGGAATTGATTTAGGAACTACTTGTTGTTATGTTGCTTGTACTGAAGGTGTTAATGAACCAAAAATACTTCTAATGAATAATGAAGACTATTTACCTTCATGGATTTCTCTTTCACAAGTTAAGAATGGTTTAGGGGTTATTATAGGAGAAGCAGCAAAGAATAATATTCACTCTCATTGTGTTGGATATGACTCTAAAAGATTAGTTGGTAGAAAAGTTGATGAGATTATGGAATGGGAAAAGGGACTATGGTCCTTTGAAGTTGTTGAAAAGTATGGAATGTCAGCACTTTCGATTTATAATCCATTGACTGAAGAGAATGAAGTCTTTGTTGCTGAAGAAGTTTCTGGTTTTTTAGTAAGGAAATTAATGGATATTGTAAAAGGAACTCAAGGCAACCCAATAATAGAAGACGTTGTTGTTACAGTACCTGTTAATTTCAATGACAGTCAAAGACTTGCAACTGAAAGGGCAGTTAGGTTGGCAGGAGTTAAATACGTTAATATCATAAATGAACCTTCTGCAACCATTCTTCTGTATCAAAATGAATTTCAAATTAAAGAAGGAAAAAGAGTTGTTGTTATAGACTTTGGAGGAGGAACATTAGATGTATGTTGTTGTGTTATTCAAAAAGATGGTATTAAAGTTTTGTCCAATGGTGGAGATCAAAATTTAGGTGGTAATGATTTTGATAGAGTTATTTCAGATATAATTAAACAAAAAATGATTGAACTAGATGTGGTTGATAATAAAGATTATTGGGAGAGAACCGAAAAAGATACAAAAGAGCAAGCAAATATAAAAAGTAAGAGAGTAGCACTTCTTAAAAAAGAATCTGAAAGAGTTAAGATTGAATTATCAATGCAAGACAATGTTGATATAAATTTAGAAAATTTAATAGATATTGAAGATGATGAAATGGTCTATGGTATTAGCATCAGTCAAGATGAATTTCAAAAAGGATGTGATGAGGTAGACATAATGAAAAGCTTTACTAATTGTATTCTTAATGTTTTGGTTCGAGCAAAACTTAATGAAAACAACGTTGATTTGGTTATTCCTGTTGGTGGAAGTTGTATAATTCCTTTTGTCAGAGAAAAAATATCAAAATTATTTAGTTCAACAAAACTGGCAGATCCTAGATTTAATTGCAGAACATCTGTAGCCAGAGGAGCAGCACTTAAAGCATCAAATAAAACCCAAATAAAAAATCTTAATTTATATGAAACTGTTCCGTTTGATATTGGGTTTGAGATATCAGGGGGTAGACTAGACCCTTTTATCAAAGCTGGAGATAAACTTCCTCATTCATCAATAAAGAAGTTTCTCCCAGAGAAACAAAATCAAACATTTGTGATTTATTCAATTTATAGAGGGATGTCTTCTTATATAGAAAATGATGAGTTTGTTGATTCTGTAACTATTAGAGGAATACCAGAGAATAA